TATGACTGACTAGTATGTCTTTTGCATTCTGGTCTTCAGACAAGCTTTATTAAAATATAAATGAAATATAACTACAGTGGATCTCTCTGGAAGGGAAAATAAAAGATATTCTGTGAGTGGTCCTAGGGCAGGTAAGGATGGGAGCATGAGCAATCAGGTGGGGAGCATGGGGGAAAAGGGTACTGAAAGAGATGACTGGAAAGGGATATATTTCAGGATCAGATAGAAACCTGGTGCCAGGGAAACTCCCAGGAATCTACAAAGATCACCCCAACTAAGACTCCTGGCAATAATGGATATGTAGCCTGAATTGGCCATCTCCTATGGCCAGGTAAGACTTCCAGAGGAGGGATTGTGAATCTAACCAAGCCACATAATCTTCCACCTACATTCTGTCCTGCCTATGGGATATGCTGAGATAAGGGTGGCATAGAGATTATGGGAGTGGCCAACTAAGGACTGTCCAGCCTGAGACCCATGCCATGGGAATGAGCCCAGTCCTACCCCTTACACTGTCTGGAGTGTCAGGACTCAAAAGCTGGATGACCCAGAGATCTAAGATAGAACCAAACATGGTTGGAGAAAAATTACAATGGGATTATTCCTAACTATATTCTGCTATATTCATAGATTAGGATCGACTTGAACTGTTATCAGATGATGTGGGATTCCCCTCTGTACGCTGTGAATGCGATTGGTTAATAAAGAAGCTGCTTTGGGCCTGTTGACAGGGCCGAATGCAGGTAGGCAGGGAAAACTAAACTGAATGCTGGGAGAAAGAAGGGCAGAGTCAGAGAGAAGCCATGTAGCCCAATAGGAGACAGACACCAGAACTTTAGCTGGTAAGCCACAGATACATGGTGATGCACAGCTTAATAGAAATGAGTTAAATTAATATGTAAGAGCGAGCCCTCAAGAAGTTAGAGCTAATGGGCCAAGCAGTGATTTAATTAATACAGTTTCTGTGTGATTATTTCAGGGCTGAGCAGCGGGGAACCAACAAGCGTCCTCCCTACAACAATCAGAGAGCCTTCATCCAGTTACAGATTGAAACAGAAGCAGAGGCCCACAGCCAGCCACTGGGCTAAGCTTGGGCAATCCTGCTGAAGAGAGGGAGGAAGAACTGTAGTGGCCAGAGGGGTGAAAGGACATAACAAGGAAGCCCACAGAATCAACTAACCTAGGCTCATAGAAGTTCACAGGGTCTGAGCTGACAACCAGGGAGCCAGCATTGAACTGACCTAGGTCCTCTGCCCCTAACACTTTGACTGGCTCTTGAGAACCTATTCCTCATCCTGGGTTACCTTACCCAGCCTTAACCCAAGGGGAGGTGTTTAGTCTTACTACAACTTGATATACCACGCTTTGCTGGTATTCATGGGAGGCCTCCCCCTTTCTGAACAGAAACAAGAAGGAGTGGATGGGGCGGGCAGGGGTAGGAGAATAGGAGGGACTGGAAAGTGAGATGGGTGTAAAATAAATAAATAAATTTAACTTTAAAAGATAGATCCTATGTGTGGACAGGTTCATAGGGGAGTGTGATGGAGTCCTCCATGTACTGGAACCCATAGGAAAATATCTTTGAGAGTTTTCTTTTCTGAATGAAGGCTATGAAAGTATTCATTCAACCTGGAAGGTTCTGGATCTCCCATATGCATGGTGATTAGAACTGCCGATAGAGGCCTGAGTCTGCCTGGAGAAGCAATAATTCAGCAACACGAAATGCAAAAGAGTTTGATTGCGCTGAAGATTGCTTTTTCTACCTTTATGACATGCGGGATCATGAACCCATTCACCTTGATGCTGGGTAATGAGGCCCATAAAGCAAGTCATAAAAGAGCTTTGAAATGCGCTTGGAAAGTTTAATCTTATGGAACAATCTCATTACTCAATGTGTGTGTACTTCTCCCAGAATCCTAGAAAGTGAGAGGTTCCTGAACATTGGAGAAGTAACGCCCTCCTTTCCTTGGTTAATGTACTGAAAACGTCAGATGCAGAAGGCAGAATTAGTTCTTAAGTTACTTCAGATCTGTAGAACTGAAACACGCCGCCCTTAGTGCTCTTAAGATGAAATCAGTTTTGAAATGGCCCCAAAATACGTCTAAAAAGAGATGGATTTGAAATGAGAATCTAGAACCAATAGTATTTTAAAAGAGAAAGATGTTTTATGAAGTTACATTTCTTCTGCTTAAAAAGAAATTTTAAGAAAACTAAAATGACTTTTAAAAACCGAAATGTAAATTTAAGAAATTAAAGACAATAATATTCAAAGATGATGAGTATCCCATGCTTGCTGCTTGTTAGTTTGAATTGATACAAATTTTAAGAATTAACCTAGAAATGTTCATTAAAATTAAATTTTAAATCATGTACACTTTTGAACTAACAATAATACCTCATAACCAGAAACCATGTACATCTGAAATAAATATCTGCAGATGTTTGCCATAGTGGAACACTAGAGAAGAGGGAATGTCTACAGTCAGGATGAATCAATAAAAAATTAGCCAACCCTTTAAAAGTATAGGTTAGACACTGGTGATAAGGTTGGAGGAGTGCCCTTCCATTAGTATTTAAACAGAAGATGATATTCAGAATATAAAACCATTTCTGTAAAAGCAAATAACTAAAACATCATATGTATATATTTATATATGCCTGCATAAGCTTAGAAAGTTTAATGCTGATGACCTTGGAACAGGACTAAGAATTAACTTAAAGGGACTTCAGATCTCTATATAAATGTCCCCAAAAATAATTCAACATGAAAGAAATGGAATGCATTTCCTTATCCCACAACTCCATGCAAATTTTGTATTTCTTTCCCACCTACTTCTCAGCAAGCCATAGCAGGTAGCATTCCAACATAGAGTCTCCTACTGACAAGTAAAAAAAAAAAAAAGTTTTCATATAATGACTTCACAAAAAAAATTATTATATAAGATTTTAATGTCCTAAAATTGCCTTTTTAATACTTAGAATTTAAGATAAAATTATTTTTTAAAAAGTTCAAATATTTAAAATATAAATAAACTCATACCACAACTTGTGAGGGTTTTGTTTTATCTTTTCAGGTAAAAGATTAGTTATAATTATGAAAATAGTAAAACATTGTTCTCTTTTCTTTGTTTGTCCAGGCCATGTTTGTTTAGTTAATTAATTTGTTACATTTCTCTTTGTCTTTAAGTGTATCCAAAGTCTAGACATTTCTGTCTCTATCAGAAGAAGGAAGAGTCAAACTGAGTCTCAAGTCATTCCACAAACACTGATTTTTCTATCAACTTCAAAGTCTATCTTCCACATTAGACCAAGTTTACATAGAACATTTATAAATACAAATGAGCCATTTTAATAATTTTCTAGGAATGAAGATCAACTTGTTTGAGCTGTTGGTGTTTCATTTTGACTGTCCCTCCTTAGACCCCAAAGTGTCTACCTCTGAACAGGCTTTTCTGTGTGAGGATGTGATTTGGGTAAGTTGAGTTTCAGTTTTCCCTGGAAACTAGGAGGTTTGTGCACAAAAGTAGCTTATATGCATTGCATCAAAATGCATGGTCACATCTGGGTATGTGACTACATCACCCTAAGATTAAACTCAATGCTTTTTATTTCATTACTTCCAGGATCTAGCAGAGTACGTGACATAAAAGGTATTAACAAGTTTATTGAATAAATAAAAGTATAAGCAATTGGGCATGTATACGCCCTTTAGGGTAGAAGAATATAAAGTTGCTTACCTGTTAGGGTTTAGCTTGCCTCTTACATAAGCCTGAGTTTTATGTGAGACTCTGATCAGTGATGAAAGTGAAATGAACTTACGTTCATGGGAACTGGAAAGTATTATGACCACAAGACCTGTATGGAGAAGTGAAAGGAAATTCTCCTAGTCTTGAGATGATGGTTTTGAATGATTTCATGAAGTCTCACAATTCCACCCCTGGAGAGATTCACAGTATCAGAATCACAAATGTGGATGACTTCACATTCGATCACACAGTTGAAAACATGTGGAGCTTGGTGAGCTTGGTTCTGAAAGTTTCTACCACACTTCTTTGCCTTTGTGTTATTGTAACCAGACGCTTGGGACACATTTCCAGCACACAATAAGGTCTCAAAAGATTGACGTCTAGACAACCCAGATGTACTAACGTAGATGATCACCCGAATACAGCATATGTTATATTAAAATGCCAAATGTAACATGTAACTGCGTAGTTTTCTCCACCTCTAGTGATTTCCAGTTTCTGAAAATTCTTAGGAGAAACGCAGGTGGAAAAGTCTGGACGGGGCTCTTTCTGAGTCACAGGTTTACCTGGTGACCAGGAGTCACATTTCCTTCTCTTTATACTTTGTAAGATTCAAGGGGGAAGCTAATGGTATTGCTAAAATCGCTTCCTTCCTAACATCTTAAATTTTTATGAGTTAATTCTATTGCATTTCAATGATTCTACTTCAAGCTTCAAAAGGCAACATTAGAAGCAGCACAATCCTGCATTCTCCGGTCTGTAAGGACAGCTCACATCTTAAAACAGCCATGTGACAGTCTTCGTTAGCACAAAATGAGGCACTGTTGAGACTGTCCAGCCCATCGTATACATTAATCAAATTAAACTAATACCTTGCAGTCTAATGTTGTCCAAACAAATACTAGACTGCCTGGATAAACAATAAGCAACCATAATCACCACCAACGTGGTTTACCCCCCCCCCCCATCAGCTTTCCCTTCCATCTGTAAATCAAACCAGGTAAAGGGGGACTGAGTTTCCCTGGACCAGCGGACTGTGAGGAGAAAGGAATCTAAGCGAGTTATCCCCACCACCTGCTGCTTCCTTGACTCCAAAACTCCAGCTCCATCTATTTCCAGGGATGAGAGAAATCTGGAGGGGAGGGGAAAGGTTGGCGAGAACAAGAGGCGGGAGCTAGGAAAGGGAGGCAGGAGGAGGCGTGGCCCGGCCTGGGGCCGGCGGGATAAATACGGAGAACTGGGTGCGGGGTGCAGAGAACTCCGGAGGACGCCCGAACGAAGCAGCACCGCGGACAGCGCCCGCCGCGCCGCGCCCAGCTCAGCCAGCGCTGCCCTCTCGCCCTGAGGTTCCCGCTCAGCGCTCTGATAGATAACTCGCCCCTGCACCATGGCAGAATCCCACCTGCAATCATCCCTGATCACAGCCTCACAGTTTTTCGAGATCTGGCTTCATTTCGACGCTGACGGTGATTATTTTCTTTTTAACCCCTTCAAGACCCATTCCCATTCCTCCCTTCCCTGCCCTTCGCTCCACTGATCTTCTTCATCTTAAGGGTCCTTTTCTCTTCCATCACCCTGCCCAACCTTGTCTTTCCACCCGTGGCTGACGACCCATCAGCCTGGAAGTTTGCATTGCTTGTATGGCACCCCCACGCTGTAAGCGTTCACCTTTCTAGGAACAACAATGGTAGGACAGATAGCAAAAATTGGGAAACCCTGTCCCCCAAAAGTTTCAAGGACTCCCCCAACACTCCCACTCTCCTCCTTTGCCCTCAATGTGGTTGAAGTTTGACACTTCTTAGGCAGGGGAACGCTGCAGCAGCTGGACCCATTGCTGATTAATCAGGGCTCAGGCTACATAGTCTCCCAGGACAGCTATCCTGGAAAGGACAGAGAAGAAACTTAGACAGATATCTGACACCTGGGTGCCTCTTTGTCTTTGCAGGAAGTGGTTACCTGGAAGGAAAGGAGCTGCAGAACTTGATCCAGGAGCTTCTGCAGGCGCGAAAGAAGGCTGGATTGGTAGGCTTGGGCTTGTGAAAGACCCTTCACCCCTAAAACATACCTATTCTTGTCTCTCGTGAACGAGGTTTGGTGGGCGAAAGACAAGACTTACTAAGAAAGGCGAGAAAGAACCTCTTTCCAAATTGCGTCAGGAGGAAAAGTGTGTGTGTGTGTGTGTGTGTGTGCAGGGTAGGGGAGTCTAAAAAAAGTCCCTGTTGTCTTAAATCGGACATATATAGTCTATATCCGTCTTTTCCTTAATAGGTCTTAAAAGGGAGCATTGATGTGTGAGACCTTTATCAGATGTGCTTCTGTATCGCTGAGTTGGTTGGGTGATTTCTGACTTCTCTTTCCTAGACGCTAAGTTGGGGGTAGAAATACGTTTCTGCCCCTTGGTGGCCAAGAGCAGATCTGCAGTTTCTAGTGCCAATTTTTGCTGCGATGTCGGTGTAGCTGGGGGATGGGGGTTAAGGAAACAGCTTGCCTTCACCCTTATCCCTGAGAAAAGATAACCAACTTGTAACACAAGTGTGAGTGAGAATTTGGCAAGAAACATTTTTTTTATTTTTTTTGTTGGAAAGAAACTCCAAAATTAGGAAAGCAATAAAACAAAACATTTTAAGAATTCAATGTATTGTAGAAAGAAAAAAATTCTGTTGAGAAACTATTAGAAATGATTCTTTAAAAGCTATAGTTTTGTCTTAAACCATTGGTTAGAAAAGTGATAATTATTGGTTTTAAATTAATTCCTTTGGGCCAAATGTATTTGTTGGGAAAGGATGATGTCAACATAAAAATGAAATGTATCCAGCCAGCTTTTAAGCATATGAGATGTTGTATGAAGGAGAACAGGTTAAGAAATTTACAGGTCCGTTGACATTTATGTTAGACTGCCTTTCAGAAAGCAATGTTGAATTTGGAGTAATTAAATATTAATGTTCTTCATCTCTTAGACTACGATTACAAATAAATTTTTACATTGAAGATGATATCCATATCATTCCTAGATATCATATATCATGCCACCATTTTCAATGCTGGGGGGTGTGATGTACTAACAGGACTATGTTTGTTGTTTTGTTATTCTTCTGTCTATGGTGAAATTTGTATAATAGGCATCATTATACAACATATCAGAAGGAAATTCCACAAGGTTGTAATGTACTCTAATGTAAGCAGACTATGAAGTCACTAAAATCTTGCCAGACTGACTTTAAACCAGATCATGCTCCGGGGAGTCTTTGGCTCAAGTTTAATACAGTATAATCTGAAAGTGTAATAGAATGAGATCCAATAAAGATGTCTTCTATGCACTTTGCCCCATTTTCACCATGTGTGTTACTATGCAAATAAACCCATGTAATTCTACCACTGTGGGCCTCTGGGTCCTAGCTAATGAGACTAAAGTAATTTCCTTCCTCACTTAAAATAGAGTAAACACCTATGGAAAGTTTTGTTTCTCATAGAAATTATAATTACAACCTTGGATGGTGCTTCTAACAGCTAAATGAACACATTTCAATTTTCCAGAAGTAACTTTAGTATTACTAGAGATTTACTTCCATCCTATAAATACAAATATTCATGAGCTCTGTGTTTTTTGTAGATTTTTTCCTCCTCACTTTAACACTTCTACTTTCTGTAAATATAAATATATATACTTAAAAATATAAAAACAAAAAACAAAGCAGAGTTCGAGTGGGAGTTACAGAGTTTAAACTTATTTATTTTTTCTGCTGCCTAATTTGATTTTGATCTGTAAGAAGCTGTAATCAAATTATAATTTGATAAGACTCATCTTTTGCAAAAGCATATGTCATATTAAGTTGCTTAATACCTTGATATCCGAATATTTTTATGGATTATGTAACAGACTTTGGTTGGATAACTAAAAACTCTAAATTAAGATCTAGATTAAGAGTTCAGATATATTGGACACGTTTCACTTATACTAGTGATCTGTTACCGTAAACCTACTTTTATATATTTCTTTTCTTTAAAAACCACACGTGATGACCTGATAAACCAGACTTCTTCTCATATCCTGACTTAGAGAGACAAAGAGAAGCATTTATTTGGTTCATCATCATAATGTGAAATTTCACCTTCCCATCAAGTGAATATGATAGCCCAGGAGACCATTTCTGAGCTCACTCTCCTGTTTAAACAAGGTCTCATCTTGCATTTACTCTCATCTTCATGAGTCTTCAGTTGATGGTACTGATTATACATGTTCCTCGCTACTTAAAACACATATTACAACCCATTTGCCACCCAGCAACTTCCCAAGCTACATATCAAGTCTGCTTCTAGAACCAGTAATGTCATATCATTTTAATATTTAATAACACAACTTTGGTTTTGTTCACTTAGAGGTACATGAAAAATCTGGAACTGCTATTCCCTTGCTTGACACTGTTGAGCCAGACACTTTCATTTTCTTATAGTTGCTTCTGTAACAGAATTTGATAGATGCAAATTGAAAAGTATCCCCAGTACAAGGGTTCTTTCAGGATCACAGTGTAATTAAATTAATTTATTGTTGCTTGCTACTTTAGTTCTATTGTATATTTACAATTATTTCTAAAGGCTAAGTGCTAGTCTTAGTGCTTTAGAGCTTCAGTGTGGCCCAGATCGTATTAGACAAGCTATCTACCATAAACTTGTGTGGTTGACACTGTTCATTACGGTGAAAATCGAGACCTTAATTTGCTTTCTCAAAGAGATGGAATAGGGTATTAGTAACAACTGGCCTATTTTAAATAGACCAGTTCATGTCACAGAGACACTTTAATTGGGCTTTGTTTAAGACCCAAGTGTTAAAAGCTAAAATACCTTATAATTCATAACTTTCTAATATGTCAATATGTAAAGAGACGCAAAAAGGAAAGTCAAAAGAGAAGGTAGCACTTGTCACTCCAAAGCACTCTTTATTATACAAAATATGAGGGAAAATAATACTTTGAGGAAAGGGGAAACCAGGGCAGCTTGGAAAATTGCTTCCTATGGTCCTGGGAGAGGCAAAGATCAGACACATATAATCTGTGGCCTAAAATATGGTCTTCAGTATTGCCCAGCTCCTAGTGAAACACAAATTTGTTAGGTCATTTTCTTCCCTCACACTTCTCTCCCAACATTTTTCTAATTGTATGTAATGAACATACATCTATTTCAAGCCCAAAAGATTAATTGCCCACAAACAGGGCCCCTTCATATATACATATTTCTCTTGTCCAAGCCAAATGCCTACTCCACCACCCATAGACAAGATACTGTGTTAAAATAAGGAGATGCTATATGACAAAACTGTGCAGAAAAATGAAGTAAGACCTTCCATAAAGCAAGCTTTTTAAAGTATATTAACAGCTATTCTGTTTCAATTTTCATTTTTCTTTGCAGTGACTTATCAACATCATTACAAGAACATTTTTTCACAAACATCTTACCTGATTTTTTATTATTATTTTAGGAGTTATCGCCTGAGATGAAAACCTTTGTGGATCAGTACGGGCAGAGAGATGATGGAAAAATAGGAATCGTAGAGGTAAGAAACCTAAGCGTTTGTCTGATTTAATGAATGAACAGCAACTCTGCAATTTATAGAGTAAGTCAAGTGTAACTCACACACAGAGGCCATTCAATGTCAACATCCTATCTTTTTCTTTCAACACACCAAATTAAGATGGCAGAAACTTGAGAAGAAGCTGAAGAGTTTAATGCGGTCCCAGTCCTCGATTAAAATCATTGTCAAAAAGACTGAGAAGAGAAACATTGTCTCTCTCCCAGTCCTGTCACTGACACTAGTGAAACGAGCAAATCCCATCTTCTGGGTGAGCACTGCCCACCCCACACTCCTGTGCTCTGCCTTGCCCACCCCATACCCACTCAGCACAGTGGCCGAGTACCCAATTAATTTGTTAACGTTTAGCAGGGCAAACTTTCTGTAATGTTTTAAAACTAAATGTTTTCAGTGCTGTGAAGGTGTCGTGGCCAAAGACTGCACCCTGGTCTCTGAAATTCTATTTCATGTTGACAGAGGTGCCCTATCAAAGGCATGGGGACTTTCCTACTGTGAGTGAACACTTCACAGTCTGGTACAGGTACACATTTGAAGAAATTAAAGCAGTGAACGGCAAATCTTGCCTTTTGACAGTGACTTTTTTCTCTTTAATACAACAAGTATGTCTATAACTCAAGGAAAGGAAATCAATTATTTTTCCATCTCTTGTCTCTACTTGCAAACTAGTTGCTGCTTCCCTTCCATCTGTTGGTGATACCTCAGCTCTGTGTTGCTCCGTCACCTATCAAAATCTTGGTAGAAAGCTTTATCTAGAAAAATAACTAGGAACATATTTTGAAATATGAAATATCACAGTCATGATTATATTCATAAAACCTTCTCAGTCTCTTCAGTTCTGAAGTGCCTTGGCCTTCAAAAGTTTGTGATGGTTCACTTTTTATTTAGAAAATTAACCTGGTTTCCAAATAATTGATCTTATTAGGACACTTGTGGTGCCAGTGTGAAATATACAGATTTTTAAACACATACTACAAGTAGAGTGAGGTGGGGAGACTATTATTATCTTTGTAATTAAAACTTCTCCCTGGAGTATATGCTTCCCCCTTTTGCCTGTGCACAGCTCATTACTGTCTAAATAGATAACTGTCATTGAACTTACTTCTGACACAGAGGCCGACTAATCAAGACAAGAATAATAAAATTATGCTTAAGAATGTAAGTGAAATGAGATAAATAATTACTCAAAACTAGTTTGAAAGTCTAATATAAAAGATTCTTCTAAACTGGCAATTTCAGAATTTGGAGTGCTTTATAATTCCAGTTGAAGGAAGATTACCATCTTATATTTAGCAATTCCACCTTGAAGCCTTCCAATGGACTCAATTATTTATTATAAGTCACTTATTGGGTGTTGTAAGGTTATGTAGTAGAAGAATGGGGTCTATTCACAAAGTGTTACATTTTTAAATAGGTAGAATAGATGGATACAGATTATGCTGTGTGTGATACAGTCGAACCCTTTTAGACATAATGTTTCAACTTTCATGTGGATGAGAAGTTAGCATTCAGCAGATGTGCTGTCTTAAGATATGGTGAAATGCAGTCTCCACAAGTTAGAGATAAGAACTGTTAGGTAGGAAGGGGTTTGTGTGTATAAAAAAAAATGGAAGCAAAAGAAGATGAATAAAGAGAGAAAGAATAGCAAACCTGCCAAACAACATAGCTTCACGACACTGTGCACCGTACAGTTGTGAGCCCTCATCAGTTATTGGCCAAGATTTTAGAGGAGGCAGCTGAAAGAGATTCTCTAAAGAGAAGAGAATTTAAAAACGGAAGAATAGGAAGGAGTTTGCTGCAGTGGTTCCTAACGCATGTCCCGGGTAGCTAAGTAAGAGACGAAAAAAGACAAGTCTTTGAGGTACGCCTAGGAAAAAGAAGTAAAATGTTGCAGAAAACAGGGAGACCGTGGGGAATGTGTGCCCTCACGGTTTGCCCTCTAGTATCACCAGAAGGTTGTGCTAAATGCAATTTATCCCATATCCAACTTGATACGCGATCTTCCCTGCTGAGAAATCCCGCATGTTGCATGGTACTCCAGTATAAAAAGCCTTCCCAAGTACCTCATAATCTCCTTCTTAGCCAGTACGCTCTGCCTTAGTGTTCACAGAAAGGGGTTGAATTGACTTGTATGTTATACTCTGTTAATAGTTAGACTCCAGGGCTCATTGAAGTCTAATCAAAGGAAACTAATAAGCAAGCAGTAATCTGCTTCCCTGTGGGAACTACCCAACTGAATTAAAAGAAAGGAAATTCAGTACCTAATTTTCAATATTCTGACCTGATACAATAAACTGACACTTTCCATAACGTGTATTTTTACCTACACATATTCAAGGGAAAAAGATGTTGATATGTCTAATATCCTGAATGTGTTAATTTAATCACCGTAAAAGATTTTAAAAAGCACATGAAGATGGCTCAGAAATAACAAGACTGTTAATATGAACTCCAAAGTGGAGCATTGATAATTTGAGATAACTTAATGACTACCATGGCAATCAGAAATGTTCTATATTTATTCAGGCTAATATAGTTCTGCTGTAAAGAAGGTCCATTAAAATAATTAAGGAGGGAGACTGAATGGCTTAGCAGGTCATGGAATTCCTTTCTCTAGGTCTCACATGAAGTACACACGGATGCCTCCTTCTGCTAGATGTCAAATCTTGAAGATTTCCCTCTGCTCGGTTGGGCAATGTGTAGGAACCTATCAGCCTCTCTAGACTTAGTGTTCTATCTGTCCAGGTCAGTGGGTGCACAGAAAAAAAGAATAGATCTAAAGGCTATTTTAACCTAAAAACTGAAACAACAATTGAAGGGAAGCAGACACTTCTCTGGCTGTCTCCTGTCTTCCACAGTGGGATTTAAGTGTGCACATTTTGCCAAGGAGGTTATTGGGGGCAGGCAAAATACTTATCTATTTTAGAATTGAAGAAACTGGTTAGTGGAAAAATAGAGTTTGAAATTTTGTTCTGGACAGACTTTTTAAAGTGAGTTAATAGAAACACTGTTTCAAGTAAAGGGTACTGATGGTAAGGGATCAATGTCTCAAAATCAAAACTATTAGACCATCTGACTTCAAAACTGCCTCCAACTACAAGCTACATAAAAATAGTCTCAGGACATCTGCTTCCTGGACTATGAGCAAGCATGACTATGTTCTAACTTCATGTGTCTATTACAAGCACAAGCACCAAATGAGATAATTCGTGTCAAACAAACAGACCACGGTAAAAACCTAGTATTCATATTTGGCATTATCACCAAATACAGAAATGAGTTACTAAAAATCCTACTCTATTGTTCTAAATGCCAAAAGCTTCTTTCTCCTTCTTACATAATTTATTAAATTCAAGTTATTAAACTCAAATACTTTTAAGTTCATGACTATTTACCTTCCACATCCCCTGGGTTCACTTCTCATTGGCGGGAAAAAAAAGGCTCCTTCAGCTTCCAAATGTAAAAAGAAATCGTTGTCTTACATGCTCAGGAAAGGTGACATGTCCCATAGCTACCTTTAAATATGATGAAGTCTGTTCTCGTGGATGTTGACGTGTCTGTTGTAGCTATTTGTTTCTCTGTGAAGTCACCCTCCATGGGTACTCCTCCGACACGTAGCGTTTGGCTTTATTTTTGTACCTAGCTTTTGCTTAGAAGTTGTTAGGGGGAAAGATCTTTTGAAAGGATCTGTCTTCCTGTGAGAGTCTGACTGGGAGTAACTACGAATCACCAGCAATCCACACAGTGGCCTACAAATCAACATCCAGATAAGGCATGGCCAGAATTTCAACTCTTTCTAAAGCATAAGGCAGGGGTCCCATATTACACTAGGGAGGGAAAGGAAAAGGCAAAGAATGCAAGTGAAACTCCTTTAGGGTTGAGTTCCCAGGAAGCAGATCTGAGTTTCCTTAGGAAGTACTTGGGTATCACTTGCTACAGAAGTAAAGACAGCACCTGGCCTGAGGGGTGCTGCACCCCTCAATGGAGGCTTTCTCTGTAATGAGCTCTGAAGTGGGGTGCTACTTCAGAAATCCCAAGTTTTGACCAGGAGGATAGGGCTTTTGTGAGATTTAACCATGGGCTGCAGTCTCCTTGAAGGCATAGGCATCTTCAGCCCAGACAGTTCCTCCGAGGTACAGCTGAGTGCACAATATTTCTGGAAGCAGGAGCAGTTTCGGATAGCATCTCTCAAGGTTCACTCCAGCCTCTATCCACAGCCCGGGCATCAGCTGAACCACATCCAAGGGAACTTTACTTCCCTGGGTTTACAGCTGATGCTAGACGTGAGCATCACTCATTGCATCAGGAAAATATTTACCGATGCAGTTGTTAGGCAAAGAAATAGTCTAGAAAATTCTCAAGGACACAGGTAAGTAGAAAGAAGTTTGTTGCTCCACTGTCAATGCTAAGCAACCAGTTCCACAAGTAAAGACCTAAGGGTTCGGTCTGCATTCACAGCTGTCTGTCTTGCCTTCCATTCATCCCCTTGTTTCACTTCACTTTTTTCTGAATTTTTTCACATTAAAGATTGGGGACTTCAAGAAAGGGCAATCAGGTGACTCAAAGGCTAAAAAGTTACCAACAATCTTGAAAGCAGGACTAGGAATTTCTGTGGACATCAGTAACTTAGCAAATCTAAGAATAAAGCAGTCCTGCCTAGCATCTTCTGGGAAAGACCTTTGGCACATCCTAGACCTTCTTTGTCTTAATTGCTACACATGAGAATCTTCACATCCATGTGAATAATAATTTGAATAATGATTACTATGCATTGGCAAAAGGATCATCAGACAACACAGGACCACAATATTGTAGAATTCGCCTTGGAAAGGAAGTCTTTCTATTTGCCCCAGGCACACATCAGCAAAACACAGGCATTGCATTTGAAATGGCCTTTTTTGTCCCACAATGATATTTTGTGTGAGTAAAGTTCATTTGTTTTTTTAAATAAGATAGTACTATAATGAGTACCTTAACAGTTTAATTAGATTTAAAGAGAACACTTTGCATATAGATAAAAATCAATATTTTTATAATTGAGATCAAAACAGTATGCACAAAAATTATGCATCTATAATATCCATAAAGGACAGCGGAAGTGGTGGTGCCCAACTTTAATCCAAGTACGCAGGAGGCAGAGGCAAGTGGATCTCCGAGTTGAAGTCAGCCTGATCTACAGAGTGAATTCCAAGATAGCCTGAGCTACACAGAGAAACTTTGTACTGAAAAAAACAAAGAGGAGTAGGCGTGTGAGACTGTGACTCTCTTTATATTTGACATTCTAAAAATCTCTGGTCATTATGTGAGTCACATGAACTTCACAAAGCAAAGATGGGTAAACTTTCCTAATCTTGCATCTAAACATTACTTACTAGTATATTCTTTTGCTTTTTCTGCTTTTAAATAGTTGGTGAATTTTCAGAAGTATACTTTTTAAGAGAAATCATTATTTCTTAGTTTAAGGCAACAGATATTTTATAAAATTCAAGTAGCATAGAAAACGATGTAAGTGAAGGTTGTTGACTCTATTTCCTGTCTATGAAGTATTTCTAAGTTTAAAAGAAATCACAAGCATATGCTCTAGGCACCCAATATGCTGGGTTCCATTGACTCTGAGTGGGCCTCTCTGAGCTCCTGAAATGGCCTGGGAGAGATCCACTCCAAACATTAAAAGTTGCATATTAATAAGCAAAGGAAGAGTTGAGATTGGCTATTCCAGTCCTAAACAGCTGTGACATTTCACAAACAGACTTTCAGAATGACACTAAATCTTCTAACATATACTGCTACCATCAACTTGTCTCATCACTGACATGTTTCCTCATCCTTTATGACCTAGAATTTCTATTTTCTTACTTCATCCTCATCTCTCCTGGATAAGTCTTTCCTCCCTTCCCTTTTCACACCCTCTGAAGTCCTAAAGAATCCTTCTCCAGAATGCCTTAGTATTATATACTGGGCTTAAGGAGCATGATTGTTTCTCCTCTCTTTCGAGACCCTCTCCGTATCCAGTTCTCTCTCTCCTTTCTTCTCTTCTCCCTTAGCTTTAGGGGAAACCTGCTAATGATTCTTTAATAATGAAAATCACTTACAGTAACTTTCTACTATGGGTCCACATACAGATGCAAAGGAAAGAAAAACTCATGAAGAAGATGAATTCTAGATTTCATTGAGTATAAAGAAGCATGGCTTCTCACAGCCAGTGGTAGCAATCACCAATAAGTGCTTCCTTTGCATTCCAAGAGAGAAGGAGCAACAGTCATCTAACTACTATAATCAAGGAGTGTGGTGTGGACTTCATTTTTATTGAGACAAGGTTTCTGTGTAGCTTTGGAACCTGTCCTAGAACTCATTCTGTAGACCAGACTGGCCTCGAATTCATAGAGATCTACCTGCCTCTGCCTCCTGAGAGCTAGAATTAAAAGCATGCACCACCACCCATATTTTTGCAGACTTAATTTACTAAGTCATCAAATTTAACTGAGTTCCAGAGTCTCCAAGTCACTAGGGTAAATCTCTCAATCTCAGCATCCTCAATTTAAAAGTTTGTGATTTGAATTACATTGGACTGTATTATTTCTGAGAGGCGCAATTTTATGGGTAAAGCGATCAACTATGAAGATCAGATAAGACTTGAACATAGTACTAAGATACTTGAAATATACATATATTATATTACATATACATAATTTATGTAATCGCACACTACAGTGATATAAGTGTATATATAGACTAAAACCTGATTTAATTTCTAAAATCACTGGCAAACTCTAAAGCTCTATTTTCGCATTTTAGGCACATTATCATCTACCCACACTAGTGGCATTAGTTTTTAGTTAAGATGTTTTCTGACTGGATCCTACTAAATATTCTAGCAAGGTTTATTTATTTTGTCTTTCACCTTGTTGTCACCCCCATAAGTAAGGACTATGGGACTGTTGTAATGTGAGATTTTTTTTCAAGGATCTGAAAGCAGAACACTTTAAAGCACATGTTGCACCGCTATAAGGAACATGAGGTGGCTTGCACATAGAGTGAAGTGATGATTTACATTAAACTCCAAACCTCAATGGGACCAAAAGTTTGAAAAACTTTTAAGTAGGTGATTTAGTTGAGCATTTCGAACACTTTCTGACCTTAATGTTAATTTCAACCCCGGTTTCTTAAACCAGAGATAGCGACCTACAGGGGTCACCATCAATGTGCTAACGGTACAAGGTTTCTAAGAACACAAGAAACAAAAATTAATTCAGCATTAAGAACATAATGACCCCAGGTGTTCCCGGAAGCACCCACCTTGCACAACTTCACTGCAGCCTTGGTGCCGACCACACGTGTTCAGCTGGCACTGGCAACACTGGCAAGCATTGCCAGGCACACCCCCCACAGGACTGCCATGTGCTGTGAATTGTAGTCTTTTTTGCTGTGCACACAAACTTTGCTGCTCTTAGAGAAGCAGAATAGCCTAATTACGGAAAACAGAGACTTCTAACACTTTCCTACTGCCGTTCCTCAGCCTGCAACAAATTTATTACATCTTTGTATGACGTTGCAGTATTTTGATTTTAAAGATTTCTGTTAGAGTTGTCAAATTGAATTTCACAAAAATTTGTTAAGATAATTCTAGTTTGGGATAAGGACAAGGTTTTCAACAATTTCTGTAATGATGTAAAAACATGGTGGTGCCATTTTATATTTCATATTTATGGGAAATACTGCTCACAGTAGACACTTTTACCGTACTTCTTGGAATTGTCACAGATGGATCAGTTCCAAAGACTGAAGATGGTCTGCACCCTGCAGTATCAAACATCCAGCCAAGATTTAATCTTTATATAAAAGCATTTTAGTTCATCTTTAATAAATGATAAAATTATATAAAATAATTACTTTAAACTAAATTGTTATGTTTTCTTATTCATAAATGTTTGTTTGCAAATTTGCATTATGAATGCCTGGGGTCACGTAAAACTTTCTCAGCAGAAAAGAGGCTTATATATGGGAGAAATTTAAGTAACTCTGTTCTAGACAGGTTTAAAGTCTATGTACCAGGGATAAGGGTGTGTGTCTGTGCTTCAGGGAACTCAGCCACTGCTGAAAAGGAGTCAAATGTTGGATGCAAAGATTTATTCTTCAGTGGTGAAGAGTCCGTCATTCCAACAGCACACACTTTGAGTCAGGGACATTCATTTCTCCTTCACCTCCTTCTCCTAGTAATGATACTAAGGGCCAGGGCAGCTGGGGAAGTTGTCAGGGACCACAGCTCATTAGCAGCAGACCCAGAAATAGAAGTCGCGTTGGCAGTGGGGCCATCAATCCAGCTCCCTCCTTCTCCACATGCAATAGATTATATTAGTCTTAAAATGGGATCTGTGGCTCCTTATTCCTCAAAAGAGGGAAGGAGGGAGAGAGAGGTAGAGAGAGAGGGAGGGAGATGTGTTGAAGCTAGGGAATGAGATCTCAGGGGAAATGTCACAGAATCAAACAGTGAAAAACAAAAATTGCCCTAAGCCCTGGATTCAAGCAGCACATGTACTCTGACAGGGGACACAATTTAAAAGTGTCCTTGTTTACATCTAGGTCCCCCTGTTTATGGTGATGTGCCTTTCTATCTCTTTCTGCTGTTCTGCTGTTGCGTTTGGTCCGCCTCCATTGTGTTTCTCTCCCGAATTAAATATGTATTATTTTTTTCTTCCTTCTTTTCACCTATATTCATGTCTCTCGCAATTTCTCATATCCCATGAACTCTAGAGGCATAGTGTGTGCCACTCTGTGCATGCTGAAAGAGCCAAGACCTGATCAGTGGTACAGAGCTTCCTCAGGAGGCACCTGCTTGTGTGTGCAGCCCATGGAAATGGGTCCACAATAGCCATCTCTTCAACTGGGCAGCCAGGTCCTCACGGTGTAGGTATTGGAGCATGCCTCAGTGTTTTCACCTTAGAAGCAAAGCATTAGAAAGGAGTAGTGGACTACATCTGTCTAGTCTATTAGTCAGCTGACACTTACCGGCTCCTACTTTCTCAGTCACTATCACTGCTCAAAGAACACACTAAGGCAAACCTGAAGCAGCAGGTGATGGCCCAGCCTCATGCCAGGCTCCTCATTTCTGTTTTCCCATCTTTCCCAGCTGGCTCATGTCTTACCCACAGAAGAGAATTTTCTACTGCTCTTCCGATGCCAGCAACTGAAGTCCTGTGAGGAATTCATGAAGGTAAAAAAAATCACACGCCCTGGAAGACAGGTGCTGAAAATCAGGAAGTTGATGGGCTCCATAGATTGACTTAACCCTCATTTTCTGTCTCCACATGCCTGCAGACTTGGAGAAAGTATGACACTGACCACAGCGGCTTCATAGAAACCGAGGAACTCAAGGTGAGTGACTCAAGGCTGAGGCCAAGCAGGCTCCTTCCAGATGCAGCCATGAACTGCCAAGGGATTCATAGCTTTTTTAAAAACCTCCCACCAAAGACACTTACGCTGAGAAGTGCCGCATTTGCGCCCACTCTTCACATCATTACCGAAACACCAGATCGAAAGACAGACTTCAAGTGCTTCTTGAGATTCTGCAGGAAATTAGCATTCTCTGTGGTGTTCCTAAACGGTTACATAAGACAGATGGATGATAAGACATACATACATACATATGCACACACACATACACACACACACACACAGAGAGAGAGAGAGAGAGAGAGAGAGGTAGATAACTATGCCCACCAAATAGGCGACCACTCTCCAGTGAAATCTGAAATTTTATTTTATATATCAAATCCATAGATTTTTCTTTGCAAAAACAAATGACAGAGACATGTGTTGTACCTTATGCATATTTATTTCATCTTTGCATATATTATAGGAAATAGGCATTGCTCTAGTGACAAAAAAAAACTGCCAAAAGTTGAGACCTACTGAAGGCCATACAGAAACAAGACAGAGGTCTGGGAGGTTTAATCCCAGACCCATCCAGATCCAAGGTCTTAGACATAGCCTATGACCTACTGCCTCTTGGCCACATAAATTACGCAGCTAGAAAACTATGTAGAAAATTGAAATTATGAAAATAAACCTACCAGTTCATATCTCACAGAAGTCTTGAGGAAGTCTTGTTGAAGAGGAATATAAGGAAAAGGACTCTGAATCAAACACAACCTCAGGACAAATTGCCGGGTTATTCTACCTCACTTCACCTTTAAAGCAGGGGCAATGATACTGTGGAGTCTCGGATACTGCCCAGTGGTCTGCCAAGTGCAGAGCATAACAAATGTATAACACTCAATTCAGCAGTGGGAACCAGTCGCCCACCCTGTTTCTTCCGGTCAACCAGAAGACCTCTTAGTCAGAAGGGACCAATTTCCTCTAAGTTCAGAATTCGGAGTGATTGAATGGAAGCAAGGGCTAGCATGCTGGCTTCATCAGTTAAGGCATCCACTAGCAAGCCTGACAGCTTGCGTTTGCTTTTCTGGACCCCACATGACGGCAGGAGAAATATTCCCTGATCTGCACATGTGTGCCCTAGCATCTATGCACCCTCACACTGTCACACATGCATGCACACAAAACAACCTTTTTTAATTTTTAAAGGGGAAGCTTAAGTTAATATTTGTTCAGCGCCCAAATGTGTGTTTTCTATGTCACAGACACAGTACTGAGTTTGAAATGCATCTCAGTATTTATTCTTCAGGAAATCTGCAAGGCAGTTTACTATGACTCCTAATATATAGAGAGACAGGATTTCAGAATGCCTGGGGAACTTTTCACAATTACACACCTGCCTAGGAAGAGAACCTAGGCTTGGCCCTAGAGTGTCTGTTGGTATCAATAGCCTTTTTTTCCTACAGCACTACAGCACTGTGTGCCTCAAGTTTCACTCGCTGTGAGCTGCTTCTGCAGCTGCTTTGTAGGGAAATGGATGTGTTGCTTTCCTAATCATAATTCAGCATGGTTTAAGGACAGAACTTTGGAGATTGGACTGGTCCGTGTGTGCCACTGCGAAATGGCCAGAAGACTCAGCAGCAGCCAACATTTTTTGATGTAAAGTTCCTCAAAACAGTGTCTTTCAGAAACTGCTCTGCTTCTAGATCCCGCAAGGTGACAGGGAAGCTGCTATGGTTTTGCTCTTTTAGACAAAAAGAATGCTTTTTAAAAACTCATCCAGTATGTAATGAAAACCTTAGCTCACTTCAGTACTGACCTCAAAATATCCCCCGAGTCTCTCTCTTTGTTCTAAATTCTATTCTCAGAAAGGAAATTCTAAATAGAAGTCCCTCCCTGGAGAATTTTGAAGATAAGTTGGCATTCTTTTTTAATGGATCTTTCAAGAAAGCTAATTTTAAGGAAAGAAAGCTAATTTTAAGATCCATAATAGAGTAAAACATCGCTTGCTCTCAGGCACGACTTTGAATCCTAGTGTCCCAAGGTTTCTCCACGGCTATTTTTGTGACCACCATTTCAGTGTCTGATGAGGCTTTTTAACCCAATTAATCTCTGACAAAAAGAAAAACTCAGAAGGCTCAAAAATAAAACTCACCCCCACCAGATAACTTTGAATTTTCTATGCTTCACTTTGGATCTAAAGCAGAGTGGTCAACGTGGAAACAAATGTATCAAATAAATGTATCAAGTAAATGTATCAAATCAAGAAAGGGGCTTTTCCCTGAAAACTGTGAAGCCGGCTCCCCCTGACAGGGCACGTTCTCTTTCAAGGAGACAGAGCGCTGTGAAGGCTCCAAAGGAACTCGGCCCTCCAGGACTCTGGGCACCGGCTCTGCTCAGCTTCCATAGCTGTGTTAATTCATTTCCTGAGGAAATCAAAGAGTTACAAAGGAACAACAGTGGAGAAAATGAAAGGCGATTGCAGCCCTCAGCATTCACACAGCATTTACACGGCAAGGCTTTGCAAAGCTTTTATCTCCGTAAAACAAAAATCAAACTCACTCCCCCCTGCTGAGTTAATAATCATTGTTTTCACCCTTCCCATATTTAATTTCTGCCTTCATATGATTCATCTGTCCCTCAAGGATTTGATATTACCAACTGGTGTAGTTCGTACCGTCAGCGGAAGCATTTGAACAAAGATCCTATAGATCCTGGGATGCAGAAAGCTAGCCACCAGCCCATCTGGAGAACAGCATAACACTAGCAGCAAACTAATAGGGAAACATGGCCTGGGATGCAGCAGGAAATGCATTTTAAATTATTGCTATATTTCCATCTAGCTTGCTGAACATTGTTCACACAGGCTAGAGAGATACAGACGGGGCCTTACACTTGTAACAAGAAGAGCACATGGATACGGGTGAAGAGAGGCATCCATTGGACTGATTAAGTTTTAATTCAGATCCTTTTACATTACAAAAACCACATCCTCCTTTAATTGTAATCACAAGAGCACAACACAGCTCTGACTGGGACAAATTGGGTCTCAGTAAGAGGCAGGTATTGTGCCTGCAAAGGTAGTTTCATTATTGGGATGCCACAAGGTCCACCAGACTAACAAAATCCTCTCCTCACCTGGCTCTGCCATGGAGGTTTTCTTTGCGTTCATCCAGGTATGCTCTGTTGCAGACTATATATCATCAATGGCATGAAAATTTCTGTGTGTTCTTTTTCTCAACAGAACTTTCTAAAGGACCTACTAGAGAAAGCAAACAAGACCGTGGATGATACAAAACTAGCTGAGTACACAGACCTCATGGTAAGACTGAACTGGAAAAGGTTTGGCCAAAGAGTTCATTGAACACATTGTGTTCTTGTTAAGTCTTGCTACCCAGGATGGAATAAATAAATCACGACTTGAACATCACATAACCACAGATGAGCATTTCTGATAAAGCTGCATCATATTTATACCTCAAAAAAAGACTTTTCTTTAAAAGTCTGAGTAATCAGATTACTAAGTTGTATAGTTTATACACATTATACTTATATATAAAACACAAATGACATCACCTTTTGTTCATAGAAATTTCTGGTGTCTGAGTACGACAGAGAAAGAATGAAATATATAATGTAAAAAAAATAGAGCACCAGGTGGTGGTGGCACACGCCTTTAATCCCAGCACTTGGGAGGCAGAGGCAGGCAGATCTCTGTGAGTTTGAGGCCAACCTGGTCTACAAGAGCTAGTTCCAGGATGGGCTCCAAAGCCACAGAAAAACCCTGTCTCAAAAAAATAAATAAATAAAAGTAAAAATAAAAAAATTTTAAAAATTAAAAAATAAAAAACCTTAGACTTTTCTAGAATCTAATGAAAGCTGCTAACTACTTTATTCATTAAATTTCTTAAAGTGAGTTTCTTCTCCTTTGATTTTTATTATTTAGGGATATAGTATCAGTATTACGAATGAGATCCAAAGCACCTTAAGCCTGATGTTTTGATAACTGTATAAACAAGATTTGTTATAAAATATGAACAATATAGCCACAAAACTTCCTTACACATAAGTGCCTAATGCACATAAATTAGTGAGGTTCTAGACAAAGTAAATATTCGTACTTTGTTTCAAGTAGGTCATTAGTGAATCTTAACACATTATGGGATTGACATTATAGGATAGCAAGCAATACATATGCTTGTATTTTCTCTACATAGTGTAAAGTTATTGAGTTCTTACCCTGTAGGTTAAATAAACACATCATTAAATGTTACTTCTACACTGTTGGATTCTCTCTGAGGGACAATCTTCTGAGTTCCTGTTCTAGTCAGGAGCGCTGAGGTTCACGGTCCATCTCGGCACTCCTGGGTACAGCTCCAGCTGCAGCAACAAGCCGGTGGGATGCTCTTGCAGTGTCCTGAAGGCAAGGCCTAAACTTCCTCTGGCCCTTTTTTGGGGAACTGAACAATAACCCACATTTATCAATTTTCTGGTTTGTCTCAATCTTAAGGGATTCTATTTAAAGTAAAACTGCCTTTCCAGGTAGGAGTCTGAAGCCACCTTTCAGAAACGGCTCAGATGGGAGCTTCCCCCTGTTGGACTGGCCCAGTAGAACTGATTAAATGTCATAAACCAGTTCCAATCCAGGAAACAAATTAATCAAGAACTAATTAAAATTTGAATATATAGGTGAAGAAACATTTCCCTATGGACACAATACTCTGTGATCTAGTTGTCCAGTATCTTGGTAGAGAGTGCAATAATATTAGGTCAGTTACGGTCAATGGATTACAAAATGCGATGTCAGTAAAGAGCCCTGAACACTGATGTCCTTCCAACAGAGAATTCTTAGACCTCCTCAAGCCATAGAGTGTACTTTCTTTTTCCCATGGAAACACCTTTCTAAACCTTTACGCACTGACTTTACCATAGCCCTTTCCATACACACATGACATTTGGCATGTTTAGTGTTCGCATTACCCTCATTCTGACACTATTTACTGCTTTCTAAAAGTGTGAATGTTTCCTACGTGAGTATTTACATGTAGGGACACCCCGGGATGTGATATGCAAGTGCACTACCGAGTTAGGAGGTATCGTTAAGTTTCCCAATGGAAAATAAAACAACTTGAAATGATTCAGAAAAAAACCTCAGACTTGTTATCCACTTACTGCTTTTGTTGAATTTTTTGCTTTAAAAGTGAAACAGTCTGGGGATGTAATTTAGTGTTCAAGCGCTCATGCTGCGTGCACTCAAGATGTTTGATTTTTGAATGCTTGTCCCTTCCTTCAGTAATTCGTAACTCAATGGCCCCAATGTTGGCAATGTCTTTCAGCTAAAACTCTTTGATTCAAATAATGATGGGAAGCTGGAGCTGACAGAGATGGCCAGGTAAGATTCGAGGTTGCGTAGATGTTAGTAGAAGAAACGGGTCCTCCTCTAAAACTCCAAGCGACTAATATAATGTTGTTCTCCCAAAAGGTTACTACCAGTGCAGGAGAATTTCCTTCTTAAGTTCCAGGTAGTAGACTTTTCTCTACAATAAATAGTGTTTTTCTTTAAAAAGTCAAAATGTGGGAAATTTGTCAAGAAAAACAAGCTGAAATACAGATTATGTTTTAACTGAACCTCTCTCCTGTCTCCTAGGGAATCAAAATGTGTGGGAAAGAGTTCAATAAGGCTTTTGAGTTATATGATCAGGTAAAAGTAATTTCTTTCCTTTTTTTCTTTTACAAAAAAATTGCAAAGATAATTTTACATGAAATCTACCCTCTTAAGATTTTAACCATAAAATATCATATTTATTAATTATAGAAGCAGACTGCATAGCAGTTCTGTAAGACCGATTTACCGCACACAATTGAGAATTTACACCTATGGATGACCATGCGCTTCCACCCTTCCCCTTCCCTGACATCAGCCATTCTGCTGTTTCCATGAGTTTCACTGTTGTAGAAACATTTTATAAGTGGATTCACAGAGCTGCCCTCCTCTGACAGGCTTATTTCACCTTATATGTCCTCAAGGTACCTATATTATAATACGTTACAGAGTGTCATTTTTAAATGGTGGGTTAATATAGTATTGTATGTATATATGCACATATATACATGATCTCCTTGTACATATTCTTTATTTATTCATCAATGGATATTAGGCTGCTGCTACATCTTAGCTATTACAAAAGCACCACAATGAACATGGAATGCTAATATCTCATCAAGACAGATCCTGGTCTTTCTGGAAAAAAACAGAATTGTGATGTTTTATTATATATCATATATTAGTTCTATTTTAAAAATTTTTGTGGTACCATCACACTATCCTGCTGTATCATTTTGATATTCCATCAACAGTGTACAAATGTTTCCAATTTCTTCATATCCTCACCAACACTGCCTTGCTTTGTTTGTCTGATAATAGCGACTTTTGCCTCTGTGAACTGATTTAACTTGCATTTCTGTGATGGTCAGGAACACTGATCCCCTTTTCACAAGATGATTAGACATTTATATCTTCCTTCAAGGAGTAGCTGGTCACATTTTACCCATTCTTTCATCAGATTGGCTTTATGCTGCTGAATTGTAGATATTCCTTACATATTTTAATATTACATTTCCTTTAGGGAAGACCTTAGTGCCTTATGTGACACATGGCTTACAACTCTCTCCTCCTAGGCTGAAGGTCACGTTTCACTCTGAATGGTTTTTGCAGCTTTTATGCTGAGCTCCACCGTCTTCCTGTTGTCTGTGCCCTGGGCTCATAACCCACAAACTTGATGCTAAGACTAACATCATAAAGTTTTCACCTATTTTATATTTAAACAGTTTCTGTTGATGTTATCTGGTTTTGGTTTTGCATCCCATACTGGCTGTCCTGGAGCTCACTATATGAACCAGACTGACCCTGTACTCATAGAGATCTATTGCTTATACCCTCCAAGAGCTAAGATTAAAGATGTGTACCGCCACACCTGCCTCTAGGAGTTTTGTATCTTCTAGACTGAAATATTTGCATTGAGTTAAGTTTTGTCCATATGAAAGACAGGAATCCAGCTCCTCCCCCTTTTGCAGTTGGATACAGTTTCCCCATAATTTTTGTTGAAGATAATATCCTTGTCCTTATAGTCAGCTTCCTAGTGAAAGGTCAGCTGATTCTCTGCATGTGGACGAATTCCGGAGCTCTCTGTCCTATTCCATTAGTTTATAATCCAGTGTCTAAGTAATTACCATACTGTTTTAGTTACTGTAACTGTGGACCAGTTCCAGAGCTCTCCTATTCCATTAGTTTTTAAACCAGTATGTAAGTAATTACCACACTGCCTTAGCTACTGTAACTAAGTACTATATTTTTGAAATCAGAAACTGCTGCTTTTTTTTCATATTTGTGTGTTTGTTCGCTTGCTTGCTTGTTTGGGGGAGGAAAAGCACGCCACAGCCTGTCTTAGCCCCTGAGTCATCCTACCAGCCCAACACCTCCATTTTCATCCTTTTCTTCCTCTAAACTATTTCAGATTTAGGTCTTTTGTGGTTGTTTATAAATTTTAGTTGTGTCTTTCATATTTCGTCTTAAAATACCCCAGGTGTTTGGGAAGGAATCACATTGATCGTTAGAACTAAATAGTATGAACACTTTAACGGTAAAAGTATTAAGTCTTCCAACCCACAAGCACAGGTGCTTCTCCATCGGTTTGTGCCTTTGATTTCTCTCATCAGCATTTTACAGCTGCCAGTGCACATGAGTTTCCACTGCGTTGCTAAGGTTACTCTTAAGTAGTTTATTCTACTTTTAGTGTATTGCAAAAGGGATTTTATTTTCCTTTCATATAGTTTATTGTTAATGTGTAGAAATAGAACTGATTTTTAAATACAGATTTCTATATTTTATGCCTATACTTAATTTACATAATGATGCCACCATGTTTTTATCTTGAAAGTTTTCTATATTTAAAAATCATATTACTACTTCTTCCTCCTCAGTTTTTTTTTTCTGGTCTATAATTCCACCCATGAGGAGAACCGGGAAAGTGCCAAAAGAAAATAAAAGCCCCAAACTAAAGGTTCATAATTAAAAAGAAATCATGACCAACAAATTACACAACCGATTCATTCATTCCACAGAAAACCTGCTATATCATATCTCACACCACATGACCTTATTCGGATGCTAGCCTAAGACCTTTCCACTATGGGACTCTGAAATCAGAGTCAAATCCTCTGAGCCACCGACTGGCTTGTAAACGGGAGCCAAGAATGGCATTCCCAGGAAGAGCTGAATGGATGTTAAGTAAGGGGAAACATCCCACAGAGGTTTCTCACATTTAAAAAGGGGGGGACTTCATGCATGAGAAAAGGTTGCTTATGAGTTTGCTCATTCATGCCTTGGCTTCTAATTTCTCTATACCTGGACCTAGGCGCTATATAACGCTGCCTGCTGATATGACAGGAAGCCAGCCACATCTCCCATCGGCCACAATGTTCTCCTCTGCCACAAGAATGTGTCTAGCTTCATTTACTTATTCCAACTGAAAAAGCTTCTAACATAGAGTGAAATATTAAATGCAAAAGTGATTTGAAAGTTTTGATCAATTTCACTAGTATAAGTGCCCACCTTTTTTTGCAACTGTGGTAAAGTTGTGTTAAGGGCCAGACGCACCCGGTTAGGACACTCCCCGAGACGGATTTTTTGAGGGCCACAGTTAACTTCTAATGTATACCATCGTATTTCTCCTCCCTCAGGATGGCAACGGATACATAGATGAAAATGAGCTGGATGCTTTACTGAAGGATCTGTGTGAGAAGAACAAACAGGTAAATCGGTTGTCGTGCAGTTTATTTCCTAAGCAGACTTTAGGGAATTACCCAGAAGCTACCACACATCTGTTGTGGGAATCTACTCAAAGACTTTGCAGAGAAACGGGAGCAGACATTAATTCTTAACTCAAACTGAGTCCAGCCCAAATCAGTAAGTTGTGACAAACAGATTTGGGCTAAAAACAACCTGGTGATTATTTTTTTTATCAAAAAAAATTTACCCCAATCTTTTCTTAATGTTGATGTCACCAGCAGTTTCTCACATTTTATCACTGGCCAGGGGTTAACAAACTTCCGTATCTCATTGGATCGCAATACTGTCTGTGCTCTATACAGGAACTGGATGTTAATAATATTACTACATACAAGAAGAACATAATGGCCTTGTCGGATGGAGGGAAGCTCTACCGAACAGATCTTGCTCTTATTCTCTCTGCTGGGGACAACTAGAGTTGGTGGCCACAACCACTTGCTAGTGATACATTGTATCTAAAAACATAACTGTGCACTATAAAGGAGTAGGCTGTACTTTTCTTTTATATCTGTAAATCCTACTGCATAGAGAGAATTATCCAGGATGGGTGGCACATTCTTTTCTGCTTGTTTCTATACTGTTTGTAATGTACAGTTTTTGTAACCAGATAATTGAAAAGAAGGAAGTCCATGCTTAGGCCAGCTGGTACAATCAATTAAGAAATGAATCTAACATGGTTTTGCTTTCATAAATGCAGCTGAATATTTGGATTTCCCTAAAAATTCTACCAGCATTCTTGTCAAAAAAATCTAGTGTTGGGTGTGCAAATGCACAACTGTCACCGAGTAGAACAATAACACATAACAAGCCAAGTACTTTTATTTTAGACGATCATAGGACTGTCCCACCAAGCACTTCTATGTTGTTTCCATCTAGTGGAGGGGAGGTGCTTCTGCATCTGAAGCACCAAACATCAATCCCTAGTTAGTTAATTATGGCTTTATTATAAAACGTTCTCCCTAGAGATTTAGTTTACCGATCATTGACATGTCTACTGCTTGAATAGAAACCACACTATTGATTCAAGATGGCTTGGCGACAAGGAAAGGGAGCCAGATGACACAGACATCTGTCTGATTTTATGTCTATATTTCAAAGAAGTCTACTGCCAGAGAATGTGACGTTAGCCCATTTTCTAAATTATTTTCATGTGTTTCCAGATGACAATTATTCTAGTAAACTGCTGTTTTATGTCATATTCGCTGTGTACTCTCTGATTAAATTCAATGTACTGAGTATCCTGGTGTCTAGTTTGCATACTTCCTGGATTTTCTATGTAGAAATGTTCACCTCCACCAAGGGTATCTATTGGCTCTGAAAATATTTTTTTTAGCTATAACTATTCTATTTTTACTATGTAATTGATTTTAATGTAAGATTCATAGCAACCTGATTATTGAATGTTATTTCATCAAAATTTTTGTGTATCCTGTGGATTCTATATTTCATATTGAGATCAGCATTCAAAATAGTTCAATTTCTATCTCTAGAGTTTCAGACAAGTTCAAGATAGAATCAGAAGAGAAATGCTAGTGTAATCATTTATCTTATCTAGAAAATGATAATCTAAAACCCTCATGGGCCCACATGTAGCTCAATTTCATATATTTTTAGCTAGTATAGCCTATACTGGTTATAGGTTGCAAATAATGACTAATGACCTTAGATTCTTTATTGCAAAGTGAAAACCAGTGACAGAGTCTATGAAGTTCATAGTTGCCACTAAAGAGTTAATGGAGGCCTGGGGCAGCTTGAATATCCCTATTAGGCACTTTTTTCTAGTTCCTAAAAATAACAACAACAAAAAAGTGGGCCTTTTCTCTCAAAAATGAATAAAAAGGGGATCTACCACTAAAAACAAAACAAAACAAACAAACAAACAAAAAGAACTTCATATCCCATGTAGGGAGGGAACAACAGACTGGCTTTGCTGTAGGATGCATTTGGAAGCAGTGGCATTGCACTGATTAACTACTAAGAATAAAGAAAATTGCATTACTCTCTCCTGTTTGTTTCTCCCCCAAAGTGTTAATTTGTATGTAATCTATCATCAATTAGGGTAGAAATGTAGATATCTTGAATCATTTTAGCCTAAGGACTCTAATAAAAACTTTGCTCAGTGAATGACTGGATACAAGGCTTAGAGGTATGGGGAGTTTTTGAGAACAAAGAAATCCCAGAAGATCCAAATATTTTGAGAGTTCTTTTTCCGCAAGTGATTTAGCCACATATTTTTTTTCATGAAAGATCTTGAAAGCAACAGGAACATGCAAAGATCTTGTAAATTTCATTTATAAAAAAATGGCTGTTCAAACATAAAATATTAAAATGACACCAAGTTTGGCATTCTTACGATAATGGTAGATAGAAAAATATAATTGTAGTAGTTCTTCTGATGTTGATTTTATGTTTTCTTGTGGTTGTGTTTCTTCATTCATCTGTTCATTTTTCTGAAGCAGGGTCTCACCATGTAGTGCATACTGGTCTTGAACTCTTGATCCTCTTGATTTAATCACCCTAATAACAGAATTACAGATGTGTGCCTTCATACTCAACACTGATAGTAGCATTTTGCAAAAGACTCCTCAGAGAGCTGACAGCAACTGTGGTCACAAATCTGGTAGCAAGACCATCATGGCGGACTCAAGTTCCTGAAAACTGTCAAAATGCTGACTGTGTAGTAAGTCAGCTCACACATATGCGACAGATTCTTTCCTGGGCAGAGAACAGGAAGAAGAATAAAAAGGATATGAACATAGATGTGTGGCTGTAAGACCACTTGCACAAATCTGCCTCAAACCTTGAAGGAAGTGCATTTCAGCTTAATCCCACTCTAAATATAAATGGTATACGGATAACACTGAGGTATCTTTAATACTCTGGGCCAAGAAATAGTTCTTAGCCATTTGGAAGAAACACTGGAAAGCCATACCCTATAAAAACATTAAGAGAACACCCACACATGCATACTACTAAGAGTGTGAAAATTATAACACAAGTGGCAAAGGAAACACAAATTATTCCTAAATATTAGCTTTAAAATATAACACAGTTGAGAAACAGGTAAGCTATCTGAGTAGGTATTTCACAAGAGGACATTTCATTGTCCAATAAACAAAAAGATAAGCAACTTTGTTGTTAATGATGAGAAACACAAACTTTAAAAATGGGATTCTAATAGCTGCTCCTGAGAGGGTTGATGAGGTTGTCGTATAGAGGAAATTCCACCATTATGTAATGGAAACTTAAAGTATAAACCCTTTGGAAAACCATTTACCATACCTACTATATTTGAACATTCTCCACAAAATTCCCATAGCCTAGCAATTATAATTACACAGTATCAACCTACTGGAGACAGTAGGCAACAGCATGGCACTGAGGACGCACTCAAACTAGAAACAACTGGGCCATCCATCCACGGCAGAACTGACAAACTGTGGTCCATACACACTCCATACACTCAAAGGAATGTTATAAACCAACATGAGTGCCTGAGCAGCTTCTACACAGGAATAAGGCCAGAAATAGGGCAGCACAAATTCACTGTTTCAAGAGAAGTCATGAAACTATTGTACTAAATGTCAAGATAGTGGTTAGTCCAAAAGAGGAGGGAGCAATTCCTGATGAGGGACAGAGGTGGGGTTTCTGGATTCTTGGCAACACTCTATCTCAGAACGTTATATGCATGTGTTGATTCTGTGATGACTCCTTGTTCATATTCTTCTCAAATTAAAAAGTTTATACAAATGGGCCTTTTCCATCTTAAGAATATTTTAAGTACAGCTTAGATCCTGTTTATTCTGTTTAAGTTATGAACTCATGAGAAATCTAACTGAATCGCAGGTATGAGCTTGATTGTGTGACCTGGTACAAGCCACATAATTTGCCTGGGCCTTTTGGCAGTAGCCTGCTCTGTAAAACACCTAAGGCCGTCTTCTGAGATTTGGGCTGCACAGCTCTGCTTCTCAGTCACTTACCCTCTTACTGCCCCAGGTTCCACAGGAACAATAAGGAAACCAACCGTGACTGTCACTCTATCTTGAGATGGTTACTGAGATTTTTCAAATGGCAATTACGAGTGATACCTCTATCAATAACCCTACTTTAACTGACAGTATTACCATTTCTATTGGTACAATAAAAGGATTCTTACAAAAAGAACCAAGAAGACTGACTGTAAGAATTCTTAAGGTAAAAAAATGGATGTAGTTACCACCCAAGGGCAGCCTGTCTGATTATCCATGAACAGTTTTCTCTCTTTCTTTCTTTTTTTAAAAATGTATCTTTTTTATTAGGAATTTTTAAAAACGATCTTTTTTCATTTTACATAGTTATCCCCGGTACCACTTCTTCCCTTCTCCCCTTCCACTTTTCCCTCTACCCCATCCTATTCCAAATCCACTCCTCAGAACTGGTTAGGTTTCCCCTGGGCAGAGTTCAATGAACTCTAACACTCTCCTCATCCCTCTATATAGAATGAGCAAGATATCCGTCCAAAGAGGATGTACTCATAGAGGCCAGTTCAAACAGTAGAGGTAAATCCTGGTCCCACTGCCAATGGCACACAGAAAACTCACATTCTGTGGGCCTAGTTTGGTTCTATGCACTCAGTCCAGAGTGAGTGAGCTCTGACATGCCCAATCTCATCTGATCTTGGAGGTTCTCTCTCTTTCATACACAGAAAAATCTTAGTGTAGGAAATCTCCATGTTCTATCATTGGATCACCTCTGCCATACTCAGAACTGTCATCCTTTTGTCTATCTCTTATACTCACATGTCATAATTAGAAAACTCCATGACTTTAAGAAGTATACAAACTCATACACATCAAAAATTTTAAATACTTCAATATCAACAAGTAAAACACAAAATTCTCAATAGAAATTTAATCAAACTCATATGCTAGCTAGCTACGAACTCTAACACTGAGCCAAATAGCTAAACACATTCTTAAGTGAACTCTGATTTTTTTTCTTTATCAAATAGGTAGTTTTCATTGATAGCAGGCATTTCGCTGCTCAGGGCTTATAAATCCATATACATTTTCAGAACAAATATGTGGAAGTGTTTTACCAGTGCTAAAGCTTCTTAACCTTTGATCAATATGAAGAGGCTGAGGAGATGGCTCAGTTACCACCAAATTCAAAGGACCTGAGTTCTATCCTCAGCACGAACGTAAGAAGCAAAGTATGATGTGGTATGAAGTGCCCTTGAACTCTGGCAAATGGAGTCAGAGTCAGGCACACTCCCTGGGTCTTGCTAGCCAGTCAGCCTAGATTAAAGGCAAACACCAGGTACATGTGAGAGACTCTGTTCCAAAACCAAGGTGGATCACTCTTGAGGAATGATGTTTGAAGCTGCCTTCTGGACTCCACAAACACATATATGTACACAAGGTACACGCACACCTGTGCACATAACCACACACACACAACTCCTAAAAGTCCGTCATGAGAAATACTTCAAAGTCTAAAGATAATGTATCTACTTAAAAGGTTGAGTTTCATTTACAATACTGGAAAAGAAAGGTAATGTATGATCATGGTTATATATGTAACGTATCAGAGTTGAACTCACAAAGTTGAGAGTAAAATGTTGATTTCCAGATGTTTGGACAGGGTACAGGGAGAGGTAGAGTTGACCGTAGGATTTCAGATGGACAGGGAAAATATTTTAAGATCTACTACACAGCAAAATAACTACAGCCAATCATAATGGATATCACATCTCAAAACAAGAAAGTAGATTTCAGAAGTCTTACCATAAAATTAGATGAGTCAACCAGACCATAGATGTTTATTTACTGAGTTTAAACAATTCCAAATTGTGCAAATATATCAAGATATCAAATTATCCCCCCTTAAACATACCCAACTACAGTTTGAATCAATAAAAATATTGATTTAAAATCCACCTGATAAGGAAGGACCATCAAGTATCCTGAGAGGGGGGTAATGTTTTAATTAAAAAAGAAACTAGTTCTAAGAATGAAAAATTGATACATATTATATCAGAATACATATCATATTTATATTTTTAAAAAGAAGAATCTGATTTATTGGCTGTCACTGGTTAGGTTTAACACCTTACCACCTAAAACAGCTAGGTGTGGTGGTGCATACTTTTAATGCCAGCCCTCGAGGCCAACCTGATCATTATAGTGAGTTCCAAGACAGCCGGAGCTATATAGTAAGACCTTGTCTCATAAAAAAAGAAAGAAAGAAAGGAAGGAAGGAAGGAAGGAAGAAAGAAGAAAGAAAGAAAGAAAGAAAGAAAGAAAGAAAGACAGACAGACAGACAGACAGACTTGAGAACAAGTTGTTGGAACAGGGAGAAAAGACTGATTGGGGACTAGGAATATAACTGGGTAGAGAGCTTGTCTAACGGACAAGAAGCCCTGGGTTCGATCCCAGCATGGTAAACATGGAGAACCCCTGCACTAGGGAGGTGGAGGGAAGGAGGATCAGAAGTCTGGAGTCTTCTTTGGCTGCATAGCAAGTTTGAAGCCACCCTGGGCTCTGCCTACAAAAGAAAACCGGCAACCCAAAGAAAATGGAAGGCTTCGGTCAACAAAGTCCTTCTTCATTCAGCTGCAGCTTCAAGCTCTTTGTACCCCACATAAAGGAAGAAGGCGGGCTTAGGTTAAGGAAGAACTGATGGCTAAATGTGTCCAGGCACTGCCTTGATGGTCTGGAAGAAGACCAGTGGAGCCTACTAGCTGGTGATCTGTAGATCATAATGTCCCTCTCAGTCCTGAACATATCTTATCATTTTGATGACTTCAGTCTTGGAAAAAGAAAAGAATCAGGTCACTACGGAAGAAGTCAATCTCTTATTAATGTCTCAGACAAAATTTCATAAATGATTAACAGGACTACCTACAGAATTGAGTGGAAATATTACCCAAAAGTTAACTTAGAAACAGGTTGATCAGCTGGGTGACCTCCAAAGAGAGTGATTGTTGTGTGTGCAAATGTGTATGTGTGGCTGTGTTTGTGA